AGCAAGACCCCATCTCTACAAAAAATAAGGAAAATTAGCCAGGTGTGATGGCATACACCTGTAGTCCCTGCTTCTTGGGAGGCTGAGGTGGGAGGATCGCTTGAGCCCAGGAATTCAAGGCTGCAGTGAGCTACGATCACACCATTGCACTCCAGCCTGGGAGACAGAGTAAGACCCTGTCAAAAATACTACTACTACTACTACTACTACTACTACTAATAATAATAATAATAATACAAGCAGAGAAATCAAGGATGGCAAGAGTATCTTACATGTCTTCATCCTCCCTCTCCTCCCTCATCCATTCACTTAAGAGATATTTGGGGCCGGGCGCAGTGGCTCACGCCTGTAAATCCTAGCACTCTGGGAGGCCGAGGCGGGCGGATTGTTTGAGCTCAGGAGTTCGAGACCAGCATGAGCAAGAGCAAGACCCCCGTCTCTACTAAAAATAGAAAGAAATTATCTGGACAACTAAAAATATATAGAAAAAATTAGCTGGGCATGGTGGCTCATGCCTGTAGTCCCAGCTACTCGGGAGGCTGAGGCAGTAGGATCGCTTGTGTCCAGGAGTTTGAGGTTGCTGTGAGCTAGGCTAACGACACGGCACTCGCTCTAGCCAGGGCAACAGAGTGAGACTCTGTCTCAAAAAAAAAAAAGAGATATTTGTTGCCTAACTGCTGTATGTTGAGCACTGTGAAAGTGCCTAATGGCCCCAAAATCATATCACCTGGCACAAAAATAAAAGTGGCTCTTTCACCATCATCAAAATACCCATAGCTTTTAGAGGCAAAATTAGTTCTTCCAAGATCAACATTTACATTATGATATTGCTCCTAACAGACAATATTTGTTCATTTTCATAGGAAATAATTTTAATTTATAAATGAGAAGCAGAAACAGTCCAATGTCCGGTCTTGGGATGGTCAGGGACTGTAAGGGCATCTCCCCCTTTGTGTATCATTCCTCTAATCCACAAACATTTACTGAACATCTATTAAATACCAAGCACAATGGCAAGCCAAGTGGAAAATGAGGACAGTCCCCAGCACAGCAGGGAAGATAAAACCGAGAGCAAAATTTCCAACGATACCAGGTGTCTAGAAACTGTAAGGCCCAAGAAGCAACCAGGGAAATTATTGGAGGAGCTGGAAGTTGAGCTGACCCCACTTGATAAGAAATCTTAAGAAACTACACTGTCTGTGCTTCTCTCTTGCACAAGAGTGGAAGATAGGAAGAGTTAGCTTGAAAAAAGCAAACAGCTGTGCACAGTCTTCGTTGCACTCACGTCCCCATTAAGCATCAATTTCCTCTAATGGGTTCCAGCCACAGCCACAAACCCAAGGAGAAAGAGGACATTTTCTTTTCAAAACTAGAAAAAGTATAAAAGGACAAATAAAAGAGAAAGAAGCATGTTATGAATGTTATGAAGCATGTCATGAAGGTGCCGAAGTACTTAACCATCCTTTAAAAGAATGTTAGATTGATAGATTCTAGTCTTTCCTAACAGACTACGAAGATCTATTCCTTATAAGAAGGGAATGTAAATAGTTCACATCATGACCCACCCACCACTGCTCTGTGAGTTACAATTCGTTCTGCTGAGTGAGGGAACCCCACATCGCTCAGGCATTCGTGAATTCTTGTCCATTTGAGCAATCAGTCTGTTCTTAAAAAGTTGTGGCAGTTTGAATGTACAAAAACACCATTACAGAATATCTGTTTGGAATACCTGTATCATGTCCTTAACAAAATTTGACAGCTTTCACCAAATGTTCTAGTAATTTAAAACTTTTAGTGCTCAAACTCAGGCCAGGATGAAGTGCTTGTTATTTGACAATGATAAAATAGCACTTTAGTGGTTTTTGGCCCTGGGGCAGTGGCAAAAATAAGAGAAACTTATGAGAGGAGGTTGGGCTGTCTCCTAAGATCGATCAAGGAAATGAACTTTTAATGCAATACAATTCCTTAAAGAAATGTCAACTTTTAGTCACAGTGGTAGGGGGGGGTCCTTCTCCTGGGGCAGGAAAAAGATAAATGCTGGTACACAAATTTAAGAAACACCCATTACCAGATTAAAAAACTGTATTTAATTCACTCTCCTCCAAATCTTTGATAATCTTAAAATTCTAGTCTATAATACCAACATGTAAATAATGTAACAAAAAAAAATCTAAGAAACTGACACTTTTTTTTCCATAAAACATGATGCTATCACATTTGTTCAACAGCCACCTTCAGCAACAAAAGCTAACGAGGTGTGAAAACACAATTATGATCCTTTTTAAGAAAATACAGGGAAACTCAAAAGCAAGGCATGGAAATACACGGAATAGCAGAGTTCCCTGAAAGACTTCCCATGTCACCACCGGAGAAAATCCAACAGGAAACACACAGCAGGGACTCAAAACCCAGTTAGGAGGAGGGACTTATCCTCAACTGACTTTCACTCACCAGACACTGCACAGATACGACTCTGTGCCAGGCACTGGGCTGAGCTCAAGGGGCTAAGATCACAGGCTGTTGACCTGCAGATGGGTTATGTTTTGTTTGATTTTTTTTTTTTAAGTCGAAGCAAGTTTAATTTAAAAGTTGGGAGATCTCAAAGAAACGTCTAGGTACCTGGCTTCTCTTGAAAAATGGAAAGATCTAGCACCATGGGCCCAGTATTCCCTCACTGGCTACTTTCGGCTGGAGCAGAGAAGCCACTGACCCCAAGAGCAAAGGACACGCTCTCCAGCTTGCCACAGTCCCCACCATACCCTACTGTGACCCAACAACACACTCAGCGCTTCACGGATTTCCACTCCCTGTCTGTCCTCGGAGGTACTTGAGTTCGTCATTATCACTCTAGGAAAAGAAAACGGATGAAAATGCTCCCTGGGCTTACGAAGTGCAGAGTCTAAGGGAGGAGGCAGGCATGAAGATACATTACAACAGGCTATGATGCAAACTACAGCACAGGGATGGCCAGGGTTCAACAGAAACCCTGAGGAAGTGGAGGTATCTAGGACACATTCACAGGGGGAAAGACACTCAGGGACAATCTTGAAGGCTGGTCAGGTGCAAGACCGGGAGCAAGTCACACTACATGTGCAAAGAAGTGAGAGGTCTAAAGGAACGTGGAGTTTTCTGGAGATGGGGCTGGGCAGAGAAGGGCCCTCTACTCTCTACCATGTAAACAATTTTGAACGTCAATCTAGGGCAACAGGGGGCCAAGCAAGTTATTTAAGCAGAAGCTAATGTGGTCAGATTTGTTATTTTGGGGAAAGATGCTGGCAGCACTGCAGCATATGACCTGGAGCAAAGAGCCCTCACTGGCTCACACCCCAGGGGGTACCAAGATGCACCCCTTTGTGTCAGCTTCCCAGTGCTCAGAAGCGCCACCTTCTCTGCCAGTGGTACATGTTTTGACTGACTCACCTGTTATTTCTTCCTTAGATTGATGTGGGTCAACGCAGTTATCTTTCTTGAATTGGCATACTGAAAATACAGTGCAGACCTTCGACAGGGGCAGAATGTGATAACCTAAGTCTCTATACGGATGATCTCAATTCCACGCAACAAAGACATCCTCTCTCACCTGCCACATTTCCTTTCCCCACTTAAATGTCTGTGACAGTCAAGAAACTAGAAGCTTCCAATAAAATATCTTCCATTGCACGTGTGGCACGAGTTTGATTTTCCTTACAGACAAATCACTACACACATATATGCCCAAACACGGTTCTCAACTCCCCTAAGTGAGCCACCCAGAATATGCCATGTTACCCTGAACTTCAAGGCAAGGTCTGAGGGTGATAAGGAAGTAATGAGAACAAAGGAGAACCCCTTCATGCAGAGCCTGTTGGCATGAGCCTGATGAAGCAACAGCACATAGAGGTCAACGGCAAGGACACTGGGCTGTTGCACAGAAATGAATGACATGCAAAAAACACGCATGTCCCCTCAGAGCAATGAAAATCAAATCAATCAACTTTTCGCTCTCAAATTCATTCAAATCTCAATAAAAGCTAAGATAGGCAAATTGACAAGAGGCTTTTTTAAACTGTCTCAAAGTTATAGTAACCCCAAACAGGCTATTTCCCAGACTTTTTATTGTTATAACAAACAAACCCATCTTTCACTCCTTGTCATTTGCAATTACTGTGCCATAACTGAAAATCCGTGAATCACCATGGGGCTTAGGGGAAAGGGCCTGCTATCTCTGGGCTGTCACTGTAATCATTGCAGAATAAACAAACAATACCAAGAGTTCTTTTTTCATCATTTTTTACCTATAGATTGAAGAGACTCTGAAAAATTTATACTCTGTAATTCCTCTCTTTCCCTAAAGATGGCATGATTATTTCAAAGCATTTTCCCCTTCAAAATATTGTTTTTCCCTTCTTCAATAGCCAACATGAGGCCTACACCAAAAGGCTTCAACATAATTTCGAATCTATTTGTAGGAGCCAAGAATTCAATTAAGAGTAAAATTATCTTGTTAGGGTTTGGGCAATTCAGCCAATTAACCCTCTTGTGACTCTGCTGAAAAAAAGAACTTGAATTGTCTAACAAAAGGCTGCACAAAATCAAAAGGAACAGACTAGGGCAGGGGTAAAGGGTTCCAGAAATCTGGATCCTGTCTGCAACTCTGCCCATCAGCAAAGTCACACAATGCCCTAAGTCTCTGGCCTTTACGAATGCCTAGGAGAGCACAGCTCCACTCTGCAAGGGGCTGCAGAAGTTCAAGAATTTGTTCGAGGGCCTCTAAACCTCCCCTCCTGCCATAGGATTTAACCAACGTCCTTAACTATGTTTAAGTTTACAGACTTTCAAAGTCAACAGCAGAACCACTGAGCTTATTCTTTGTGAACAAGCTCTGTTTCCATGATTGGATGAAAATGAGTTTCACTCTGTAACTACAAGGAAGGAAGACACCTGCACTGGTGTGGGAGAGGTGGTCTCACCCTCTCTCCTGTCCCAGGCCAGATTCTCTCCCCGCATGGCCACATGCTCACCTTGGTGGCTTCCTCCACGCTCTCCCGCAGGACCTGCAGCTCGGCGTCGTACTGCTCCTTCAGTTTGTCCATCTCCCGGTCGTGGCTGGACACCTCTTCTTTCAGGGCCCCCTTCAGGGCAGTGAGTTCACGCTCCCGCTTTCTCAAGACATCTTCTTGCTCCTCCTTGGCAATCAGCAGATCTTGAAGATCCTGTTTTGCCTGTAAGAGCTCCTGGGGCAGGAAACACGAAGCAGGGAGGTGAAGATTAAACATCTCCCCACCCGATGTACAGCCACCTCCCCTGTCCTCAGGGCTCTTCCTTCCTCGTTCCACACACCTATGTAGACCACCACTTCCTCTCCCCCCGGCACCTCTCAGAGGCCATCATTCCCTTGGATTTGTCTGTCTTGGCTTCTTGGAGGCTCCATTGAAGGTGAGGGAGAAAAGGGAAACAGATGTCATTGTCATTGCCTTGGAGGGACATGCCTGCTTTCTCCATCTTGTTTCATTTCTGTGTAATGGTCAGTCATCCTTGCTGTTGCCCTGCACCTGCTGCTGCTTCCTGAGGGACACACTGACTCACTGGCCCCACTTGCTTCCTACCCCTGCGTGTGGGCAAACCCCCATCCACACTCCTAGTACTCAGGGAGACTTGGCCCATTTTCCTTCTGTCTCATTTGTCCATCTGAGAGGAGCACAATATTCACATTTTCTCCTCCTTAACTGCCAAGAGTTCACACAGAAAATCACAAAACTGGGGCAACAAGTTCCACTACCAATCACTTTGCCTGAACCCAAGTGCTTCCTGCCAAAAGCTCAGCATTCCTCTCACTTCAACATCTTTGCCCTAGTCCTTCCCAGGGCCCCTCAGGCGCAGGGCTCAGCCTCACCTGCAGACTCCGCGGAGGTCTGGGCCGTCCTGCAGAGCCCTCGGCTTCCTCCCCACCTCCACTCTGCACCCCGACCCTCTCCCCACCCGGGTCACTGCGCAGAGAAGGAACCGCCCCTGCCGGCCCACTCCCAGTCTCCACTCCATCAGTCATCTTGTCTCGCTGCCATTTTGGTCTTTTCTGTTTTCTTGAATTTTGGCTCCCCTCCAAGCTTTACCACCAAACTTTTTGAAAGCATAATTTTTCTTTTAAGTAGGCACTAAGCCTTAGTTTTTTATTTTCTTTTGTTTGTTTGTTTGTTTAGAGATGAAGTCTCACTATGTTGCCCAGGCTGGAGTACAATGGCCATTCACAGGAATATCAGCCTCGACCTCCCAGGCTCAAGCGATCCTCCCACCTCGGCCTCCTGAGTAGCTGGGACCACAGGTGTGCACGCCAGCTTAGGTTCACTGTCTCTGCTTTGTGACCACCCTTTACTCCTTAATCTCTTCCTACCTTTCTTTATGTCCCTACTCTACTAAGACAGCACCCTCCAAGGTCATCGTGACCTCTAAATCACCACAACCAATGGCCTTTTCTCAGTCCTCAACTTTCCTGACCCCTCTTTGATCTCCCCGCTCATCTCCTTAAGAGTCTCTTCTTCCTTTTAACGTAAAGACAACACCCTCCCCTGTTTTCTCCCACAGGCCACTTTTTCTGTGATAATCTTTTCTGGCTTTTCTCTCCCTCTTCCCAGAAGCTACAATGATCCCCAAGAATGCAACTCTGCATGCTTTATTCTCTTTCAGCAAACTCCTCTATTTTTTCCAAGTACTAATTCTATGTAAAAGACTCCCAAATCTTTACGTCCAGCCATTGTCTGAGTTCAGACCTGCTCTAACATTCAGTGACCCCGACACGAATCCACCTGGATGTCCGGCAGGCACCTCAGACTCGGTAGGATTACAGTTTTAAGTGAATTCTTCAGGTTCCTTCCTTTCCTCTTCCTTTGTCCTTTATTCGTGTGAACAGCACTACCTGGCCCCTAAGCACCCATGCTCAGAAGCTTGGCAACAACTTGGACTTCTCTCACCCACGTCCCTCACAACCAAAAAGTTAGTTCTGAAACATCGTAGATCCTTCCCCTCACCTCCCTGGGTTTGGCCCTCTTCACCTCCTGTGCGGCTACCCGATTGCTCCCTGCAGCCTCTATGACAACATCCACGCAGCATCCTCTATGGAGTGGCCTTCTCCCCTCTCAGGCCCTCCCGTTTCTGCCTTTCAGAAAATCTTTGAAGACTCAGGAACAATATGCCTCCTCCAAGAAGTCTTCCTTGAATACCCTTCCTGAATACCCATCTCATTTTAGGTGTTCTTCTCACAGCATTTAATACTTTGTCTCTTGCATTCTATGTATTTTGATCATTTTCCTTATCTCCCCTAGTAGACTACCAGCCTCTTGAAAGAAGGATATAGCTCTGATTCATCATATTTTTGATGCATCAATAATATTGATCATGATATTGATCAATGATATTGAGAGCACTCATCTGTTCTAGATTTAAATAAGTTAGCATGTGCATTACAGCAGGAGTCTGGAGATGTCAGAATTCTAAACTAGTGTATTCCTTCACTTGTGGCTTCTGAATAAGAACATATCTTCTTCTTGTGGAGTTCCTGGGGAAGCAGAGGAATGGCTGCCACTTAGGGACCCAGGGCCTCGGAGGTAGTAAGCTAGTTTCCATTCAAGAAGTGTGTCACTGATGAAGGGATGAAAACATTTATGTTGATTTAAGAATAACTGACAATGAAATCTCTTTCTTTTTCCATAGGACATGCGCCTCCATTGAACTAGGGAACATCTACAATCCCATGGTGGAGCTGCATTGCGTAGACCGAGACTTTGCCCATCAAAAACCTCACTACCAGGCATCGATGAGCTCGAATGAAACGTCAAGAGACCCATCCAGGTAACAAAGGCAGCTCTGGCTCTTTCAAAGCACCAAACTCAGAGATTTTGTGAAACTACCTCATGTCCTGATATTTATCAAAGGGGATGCACTGATACCACTGCCCAGCCTCTCCCAGGGAGGACCAGAGCCTCCCCCCACCCCCGCTCACTGCTGCTGCCGGCTACCCCTTTAAGGCTTCCTGGAGCCTCCTGCCAGCGTCTTCAGAGCAGACCCTTGATTCTGACCCCTGTTTCCTGCTTTTACTCTCACACATTTCTCAATTGTTTTCACGATAAGACAGTTCCTCTTCCCACACTTATCTTTTCCAGGATATATCTGTGTTTTGTGTTGCCTTTTGTGAACTGCCGCCAATGCATGTCAAGAACTGAGGTTTTTATGGTCCATTCTACACCGACATGCTGTTATCTGCGGCTGGAGCTATTGCTTAAGTGGACTGTGCTGCGCAAATCCAATCAGATTACACCTCGCCATATCACTTAGAAGCACTTGAAGTTTTCCAGAGTAGAGACCAAAAGGTACATGAGGTTTCAGAAACTTCACTCCATCACCTCAAGTTTAATTGCAACAAGTTAAAGAAGGGAGAAAAAAATATATAAACTTCAAAATATAAGTAAACATCCGGAGGGGTGAACATGCCTCTCTGCAGACTCCAATCAAAGAAAACAAGGGAAAATGTTGGCTATTCAGAATCAGTGCTTTCAAAACCTTTCTGTATACAGAATAGCTCCCCATTTATAACAAATAGCCAAAACTTAAAAACCTAGCGTGTATTATGTGTGTGTTGGGGCGAGGGGAAGTAGCAAGGTTGACTGCGTTTGGTCCTTAGTGCATGATAAGAACTGTCCTAAGCATTTCCAAAAATCCAAAGAGAGAAATATTCAAGAAGATGAATATTATTATTCTCGTTCATAAATGAAAGAAGTTTGAGCTCTGAGATGCTAACATGCCTAAGATCGCGGAGCTTATAAGCAGTAGAGCCAAGATTGGGGCCCAGATCGGATCCCAACACCCTCTGTCTTCACCATAGTCACTACACACCTGACCTCAAAAACCACACATTCGTGAAGGCTGAAGAACAAATAATTACACTGCAACCATGTGCTAGATGCAAACGGAACACAGCACTGTTTGGCTGGAAGTACCTTGGACGAGGTCCACTTTTTTAAACTAAAGCAAAGAAACATGACCAGAGCCTGAAAAGACAAGAAAGAAGGAAAGCTGAGAGCAAAAGGAAGTACACTCCGGGACCGGATCTTAGCAGCGGCAGCGAGTGGCTGCTCCGACAGCACATGCACGGATCTTGTCTGACGGGCACCAGAATGTCCTGAGTGGCAACTGATTTGCCCACAGAAAGCTCTGTCACTTGCCACCTCTTCACAGGTCCTCCACATCAAAAGGAGGAAGACACTGCCCCAGGCCCTTGTCTGCATTCACACTTCCCAGAAGTTCTATAGGGTCCCTAACTCTCGCCCAGGCTCACTGACAGGGTAAATAAAAGGTTTTTCTATCAAAACTGTAAGGTTTTATATCAAATTATGTAATTTTTCCCCCCATAAGGATGGTCTAGGAAGCATCACACAGCTGGTGAGAACCATGATATTTTTAGTTGCTTTTGAAATTAAAATTTGCAGAATGTTCAGTAATATCACTACAAAAGAAGTTGTAGAGACCTAATTTCTAAGCACAATCTATCCTCAGATCAATACAATTTTATAACCGGGATATTTTAGGGAGACTGAAGTACCCGCATCTTGGCAAAAGCCAGGAATAAACCACTGTACGGCTGTGCTGGAGCGAGGCCCTTCTCTCAGCGCCGCGGGCTCCCATCAAAGGACACATTTGATAATTAGAAAACTCCACTGTCGTGGCACTTGGAGAGCTGTCTCGCGTTGACCCGTCACCCTCAAAATGGAAGGTAGTGCGTTCATGGACAAAGAAGTAGCTGAAAATTTGTTCTATAAGTTCTCAAGTTTTTGTAACTTGAGTTTTAAAAAAAATTTCAGAATCATCCATTTAACTAAGAATAACAAAGTCATCCCATTCTTGGTCAATTATATGGCTTATCCTAAGAAAACAAAGTATTTTCTACTATTTCTTTCTTCCTTTTTTTTTTTTTTTTTTAACTATTTTATTCTCTCTTAACTTTACTGATTACATACAGGGGTCTGATGTTATTTAACACAATGTGAAATGTTAAGAGAGATTTCATGAAAAAATCCGGTCCATCGCGCAGGCCTTACAAAATTTGGGCCTTTAACCTTTTTCAAACATTCAAAAGCTGAAGTGTTTAACAGTCATTGTGTTTAAGAGTCTGTTCTAAGCCAAATGCCACGTTAAACTTGGCCACAACTATAATCTTTTATCAAGTCCCCCCGGGCCACTTTTTATTAAGATATGAAGAATAAATTGAAAGTGACAAGGTGATAGGGTCTATTTTATTAGTGATGTAGAAACCATAGATCATGTTTTAAATGTTGCTGACACGTCAAAGGAAACTGATAAAAACAGAGGATGATTTTTCTGGAGGGAAAGAAACCCACTTGGGCAGAGAGAAGCTAATTGTGCCCTAACTCATCCCGCAGAAAGGCAGCAGTAAATGACATAGCTCCTGTTATGAGAAAGGAGCAAATAACCAAAAAGCCAGCAATATCAG